ACAGACAGACAGACAAACAGACAGACAGACAGACAGACAGACATGGATGTAAACATGACCTTGGCACAGTGACATCAAGTCAAAGATCCTGAAAAAAGTGAAAACACCGGAACACGACATTGATCTAAATCAGACATTTCCACCGTCTCGTGTTCGGATGTCATTTATTCGATGTGTTCCCTTTGGCGCCACCAGGTGGCATCCTCATGTACGGCGGCCTGGTGCTGTTCGAGTCCGAGTTCGTGCACGTGGTCGCCATCTCCTTCACGGCGCTCATCCTGACGGAGCTGCTGATGGTGGCGCTCACCATTCGTACCTGGCACTGGCTCATGGTCGTGGCCGAGTTCTTCAGTCTTGGCTGTTACCTGGCGTCTCTCGCCTTCCTCAACGAGTACTTCGGTAGGTACTGCGTGTTACTCACAGCGTTTGTGGTTCTTGAGGTTTCCACACAGCACATGTGGCATTTTATCTTTGAACCAAGTTGTAGTTTCATGAGCTAGAAATAAATATGAGCTGTGTAATCAATCGTCCAAAACCCAAAGAAATGAAGAAATCGTGATAAAGTCGCTGCTCCTGTTTCCTGTGATGTGATGATGTCTGACACCTTATTGTCGTTCAGTAGTTCAGACCCCAGCTCTTTAGTTGCTTCCCTCTCCTCCCTCGTTTCCTCCCTCCTCCCTCCTCCCCTCCCTCCTCCCCTCTGTTCACTGCTGATGATTTTGCTCTGCACTCACTGTCTCTGCTGCACTTCTTTTGCTTCTGTATGTTGCTAACAGGCATAGGCAGGGTCTCCTTTGGAGCTTTTCTTGGTAGGTGTGCAGCCTGTAAATCAAATTCACCCCCTGATCCATCTGTGTGTTTTCATTTAAGTTTTGAAAAGTCACATGTTGCTGTTTTTTGTTGTCACGTGTCAGTTACGTCCCGTCATGTGTTCCGCTCTTCAGTTCTCCTTTTTAGTGCCGTGATAAATACACAAACTTCAGCTCATCCCGACTCTCTAAGCTGTCAGAGCGCTGCGACATGTGGAACTGATCGGTCGTGTCTCTGTTTGTTCTCCCAGACTTGTCCTTCATCACGACTTGGCCTTTCCTGTGGAAGGTGTCTGCCATCACGCTGGTCAGCTGTCTTCCTCTCTACATCATCAAATACCTGAAGCGCAAGTTTTCACCGCCAAGCTACTCCAAACTCTCCTCATGAGAACTACTTGGATTACCTGTATTCCTTTTTGTAGTTCAGTGCTTCTCCAAGCTTTCTATCTCCAGCACTTTTTTTACAACACGCTGATCGTCAGTGGCGGACGTTTGACCTGAGGCGGTCGAGGAACCCGCTGGGGGAATCCAGAATGGGAAATGAAAAATTGAATATTCGCGCTTTGGGTTTTCTCTCTGACCTGAGACGTGGGATTACTTGAAAAGTTGGAGCACATAAAGAAAAACGACAAAAGGAAGGATTCCGCCACAGAAAAGTGTGACTGCACTCGACCCTTTATCCACAGAGGGTCAACCTGCCTTCCTCTGTTCTAAAGCATTTCAAAGAAATCCACTTCAAGTGTCACTTTAAACACTTCTGATGAATTACTTTGGATGTTTGACTTTTTTTATATGTGGAGTTCGGATTTTTTTAAGTATTATTTTTTACTATAATTGCAGTCCTGCATCTTTGAACACCGTTGAGTTGCTGTAAGGGATGAAAAGTTTTCCTGTGTACCTGTAAATAGCTTTGATAAACACTGTCGTCGTTGTGAACCTCGCTGCGTTGAATCTCCACCAACCAAAAACGATCATTTTCGAAACATTCAGAGAAACTGCTGAGCGTTTGTCCCGGATATAAACCTCCCGGGCTCCAAACCGAATCTTCTGTGCATTTGCTGCCTTTGTTCGCCGCGACGCTGAATGACCTCGTCAGGCCGTCGTCACCTCTGTAGAATAAAACCAGCACTCCAAAGCGACATCACACGTTGTATCGTCTGCGTATATGAATATATCTGGCCTGCATTCAGTCTGTCGCTGGCCTCCACGACACGGCAGCTCGCTTTGTGCCTCATTTTGTGTCAATGTGCTGAAGCCGCATTTCACAGCATCGGATGTCGAACAATCAGATTTTTGGTTCGTGTTTGTTTTTATCTGCTGATTCAGAAACTTGCTGCTCTTCTCGGACACTAAAGTCACAAGACGGACCCTGAAACCGATGGCTGGATATTTTTAGGCCTTTATTGATAATGCCCCCCCCCCCGTCCTTCCTGGGCGTTTGTGTGACTTTGTTGTGTGGCGGACGTTGACATTCAGGGGGAATGAGTTTTATCATTCACTCTCTTAAGCACAGTAGGGAAAAAACCAGCTGGGAGAAAGTTAAAGTGACGTGTTTGTAGTTTAGTCAGGTTGTCGTTTGTTTTCCTTGAATGAGTTGAACTCAGGTGGATCATTCCTAAACATAGTCGTGACAGCCGCTCCGCAACATATAGCTATACTACGAGACAAAAGACAAGAGGTGGGTGTGGTTGTTTAGCAATGAGTCGGTCACTTTAATACAATCACTCCGTGATTTACATTTTTACAAGAAGAAATTCCAAATGTCGATTCTTGCTCTGTGTGTGTTTTTGTTGAAATGTTGTTTTTGTTGCTTTTCATGTCCCGTTTCTAACGGTGTCTGTTATTTATAATATTGTTATTGATTAAAGAGTAATAAAAAAAGAAGATTTGAAATGGTTTTCACTTCCTGTGTTCTGACACAGATTCAACACTGACGAGGTTTTTAGCTTGAAAGTCCTCATACGGCCACTAGGTGGAGGTAGAGACCAGAGGCTCCAAGTTAAGTTGATGACAAAACTGAAGAAACATGAGTTATACTCCACAGAGTACAACAAACATGTGTATCCTCGTGTTAACGCTGCTTCTCTGTGCAGTAATACGCATCTTCAGCCTCTGAATATTTCACCCCATCAAGATCCCGGAAGTATTCTGTGAGAAATGAAGTTGAAGAAAGGACGAAGGGGTTTCGAATGTTGTTCAAGATACAAGTGAGAATTAATTTGAGAAAGTAAACTCATCAGTGAACACACTATTTAATTTTACTCCTATTTAAGACTCGTGAGATGAGAAATGTCTCTTTCAAGCACGAGGAGCCAGAAGAAGATTCACAGCGTTAACAACGGGTTATAGACAAATTACACAAACTGAGAACACACACACAGAGAAATGCTTGTTCACATTCACAACAACCTCTTATCAACTGTTCTTAATCAAAATGTTCATTATTTAAGTCAAACATTCCAAAACGAAGTTTGTAGAGAGAACCACAGTAAGAACATCCTTATATAAACATATAGTACTTACAGGTTGTGTCTTTAAATGTGAGCAGTGCAGAGGATAATGTAAAACAAAATCTTTTACGATGTAATCTAACGCAGCAAACGGACAATGTGTTATCAATTTCTCCCCTCGGAGCAGGAAGTAGTTTGTGACCCGGTGATGAATGTGATGGTCCGATGGCTCTAACTTGTTCAGAGACGTTCTCTCTCTTCTGCTCGTTCTCACTCTGGAGCGCCTCGTCCGCAGGAGGGGAAAGATGCAACGAACCCAAGGTCGTATTTAACTGTTCCTACACTGTGTGCGTCTGTGGAAGATCACTGCGGAGTGTTTTCCACGACCGCACGAGGAGCAGTGATGGAGCGGATAATGTTCACGTGACCGATGCTTCGTCGTGCCAGCACACAACAGTTCGTTTTTCATTAACACATTTTATTGACGTTGTTTCGATGAAGTTATTTAAAGTTCAGGTCTTAGATGTGTATTGGGAAAAATGAAACTCTTTGTCGGACGTTAAGTAAAAGTTACTGATCGTGTAAAGAAGGAAAAACTTAAAATACTAATAACTCAACCAAACAAAAGAGATAAATGAACTTTTTTTATAAAAGTTTAATGGTTTAATAAAAGACTTCAAATCTAATTCAGGTTCAGCAACTTTCAGATCTTTGTGAAGCCCATTCTGTAGTTTAGCATTTTGGCACTTATTAGTTTCTGGTCTCTTTAAACGTCAAAGGACAAATAAATATAAAACTAAACAATTATTTCATGTCATTACAGGAGAGAGTGTAAAGGTAACTGCTGAGAACATGAATGGAGCGGTGTGGTGTGTTACTAGTGAGACACTTAGTGGTGTTGAATCTACAGAAATAAGAGTTTCATGTAGCATCTGTTTCAATTTACCGAAACTAAGGGACAATAACTGTCTCCTGTCTTCACACTGATGCATCAGGGTCAGTGTGAAGTTCAGTGTCTTTGCTCGAGGACACTTCGGCGCTCTCTAGAGGAGCTGGGGATCGAACCAGGATCGGGCGGTGGACAGATCAGGGCCTTGTTGCAACTAAAGCCCCACGACCTCTGACCTCCAGACAAGAGGATGAATGAAGAGTACAGATCACTCCCCACAGATCTTACATCTCATTCTCTGTCTTCAGTCCCTGCAGCACGTCGACCCTCAAGTAAATTCACATATATTTTTATTTCCAGTACCTTGAGTCCAGTCCAGCCGAACCTCCTGCACTTGCAACGGTTGGGAGAAGCTGCTCAAACAGCTTTGGATTAAATTGCGTAAGTGCAGCAACACGACCGTGGAGCCGCTACATCGTCTGACTGGAGGTTAATAAACGACTCATCCTCCGTCGTCCGTAACTTAATTTGAAGCACAACAGAAAAACACCTCTCCACTAAACTTGATTTTATCCGAGCTGTAAGTGGAATACAAAACACTTACGCAGCAGAAAGTTCAGATGCAGGGAGCATTTGTCAAATTAGTATATTTTTTCACATTTTAGCATCTAATGAAGTAAGATTTCCTGCTTTTCTTTTTCTTTAACTTAATATATGGTGGGTTTGGGATTATTTGGACTTTTGATTTCCTTT